AAATCAATCAAATATGGTACTCAAGAAAGAAAGAAAGAAAAGAAAAGAAAAAGCAGAACAGAAACCAAGGAAATATGGCAATTAAAGAAATAAAAGAGCAGAAGGCGGAAGAAAAAAAAAAAAAGAAAAGAAAGAAAGAAAGAAAAAGAAAAAGAAAGAAAACAGAAACCAAAGAAAAAAAAGAATTGAAAAAAAGAAAAAATAAAAATTGAAAAAAGAAAGAAAGAAGAAAAGAAATGAAAGAAAGAAAAGAATAAGAAAGAAAAGAAAGAAAGAAAAAGAAGCAAACAAAAAAAAGGAAAAAAGAAAGAAAAGAAAGGAAAAAAGAAGGAAGCAAGTCAAAAAAAGAAAAATGAATGAAAAAAAGAAAAAAAAAGAAAGAAAAAGAAAAGAAAGAAGAAAGAGAAAACGAATTGAAAGAAAGAATGGAAGGAAGAATGATAGAAAAAAGAAAAAAATCAATCAAGAAAGAAAGAAAGAAAAAGAAAGAAAGAAGAACAGAAACCAAGAAATATGGCAATTTAAAGAAATAAAAAAAGAAGAGAAGGCGGCAAGTCAAAAAAAAAAGAAAGAAAAAAGAAAGAAAGAAAGAAGAAGGAAAATGAAAATGAAAGTAAATGAATTGAAAGAAAGAATGGAAGGAAGAAATGATAGAAAAGAACAAAATCAATCAAGAAAAGAAAGAAAGAAAGAAAAGAGCAGAACAGAAACCAAGGAAATATGGTAATTAAAGAAATAAAGAGCAGAAGGCGGCAAGTCAAAAGAAAGAAAGAAAGAAAGAAAGAAAGAAAGAAAGAAAGAAAGAAAGAAGGAAAATGAGAAAGTAACGAATTGAAAGAAAGAATGGAAGGAAGAATGATAGAAAGAACAAAATCAATCAAGAAAGAAAGAAAGAAAGAAAGAAAGAGCAGAACAGAAACCAAGGAAATATGGCAATTTAAAGAAATAAAGAGCAGAAGGCGGCAAGTCAAAAAAGAAAGAAAGAAAGAAAGAAAGAAAGAAAGAAAGAAGGAAAATGAGAAAGTAACGAATTGAAAGAAAGAATGGAAGGAAGAATGATAGAAAGAACAAAATCAATCAAGAAAGAAAGAAAGAAAGAAAGAAAGAAAGAAAGAGCAGAACAGAAACCAAGGAAATATGGCAATTTAAAGAAATAAAGAGCAGAAGGCGGCAAGTCAAAAAAGAAAGAAAGAAAGAAAGAAAGAAAGAAGGAAAATGAGAAAGTAACGAATTGAAAGAAAGAATGGAAGGAAGAATGATAGAAAGAACAAAATCAATCAAGAAAGAAAGAAAGAAAGAAAGAAAGAGCAGAACAGAAACCAAGGAAATATGGCAATTAAAAATAATAAAGAGCAGAAGGCGGCAAGTCAAAAAGAAAGAAAGAAAGAAAGAAAGAAAAAAGAAAGAAGGAAATGAGAAAGAAAGAAAGTAACGAAATGAGAAAGAAAGAATTGAAAGAAGGAAGAAGAATGATAGAAAGAATAAAATCAATCAAGAAAGAAAAAAGAAAGAAAGAAAGAGCAGAACAGAAACCAAGAAATATGGCAATTTAAAGAAATAAAGAGCAGAAGGCGGCAAGTCAAAAAAAAGAAAGAAAGAAAGAAAGAAAGAAGGAAAATGAGAAAATAAACGTATTGAAAGAAAGAATGAAGGAAGAATGATAGAAAGAACAAAAAATCAAGAAAGAAAGAAAGAAAGAAAGAAAGAAAGAGCAGAACAGAAACCAAGGAAATATGGCAATTTAAAGAAATAAAGAGCAGAAGGCGGCAAGTCAAAAAAGAAAGAAAGAAAGAAAGAAAGAAAAAAGAAAGAAAGAAAGAAGGAAAATGAAAAGAAAAATGAGAAAAGAATTGAAAGAAAGAAAGAAAAAAGGAAGAATGATAGAAAGAACAAAACCAATCAAGAAAGAAAGAAAGAAAAAAAGAAAGAGCAGAACAGAAACCAAGGAAAAATGGTAATTAAAAAAATAAAGAGCAGAAGGCGGCAAGTCAAAAAGAAAGAAAGAAAGAAAGAAAGAAAGAAAGAAGGAAAATGAGAAAGTAACGAATTGAAAGAAAGAATGGAAGGAAGAATGATAGAAAGAACAAAATCAATCAAGAAAGAAAGAAAGAAAGAAAAAAGAAAGAGCAGAACAGAAACCAAGGAAATATGGCAATTTAAAGAAATAAAGAGCAGAAGGCGGCAAGTCAAAAAAGAAAGAAAGAAAGAAAGAAAAGAAAGAAAGGGAAAATGAGAAAGGAATGAAAGAAAGAAAGAATGGAAGGAAGAATGATAGAAAGAACAAAATCAAGAAAGAAAGAAAGAAAGAAAGAAAGAGCAGAACAGAAACCAAGGAAATATGGCAAATTTAAAAAAATAAAAGAGCAGAAGGCGGCAAAAGTCAAAAAGAAAGAAAGAAAAAGAAAGAAAGAAGGAAAATGAGAAAGTAATGAATTGAAAGAAAGAATGGAGGAAGAATGATAGAAAGAACAAAATCAATCAAGAAAGAAAGAAAGAAAGAAAGAAAGAAAGAGCAGAACAGAAACCAAGGAAATAAAAATTTAAAAGAAATAAAGAGCAGAAGGCGGCAAGTCAAAAAAAAAAAAAGAAAGAAAAAAGAAAGAAAGAAGGAAAATGAGAAAGTAATGAATTGAAAGAAAGAATGGAAGGAAGAAATGATAGAAAGAACAAAATCAATCAAGAAAGAGAAAGAAAGAAAGAAAGAAGAACAGAAAACCAAGGA